ATCACATGTCAAAATGTTGGTGACAGATTCTCTGCACTGGCATCTCAATGCTCCTATAAATCTAAAACCATTATAAAATTATTTTCTAAACTGTGATTTTGTAGAGTAAGTCACTGACTTTATTTTTTGGAATGTTGGTGACACTGTTGCAGGAGCAGAAACTGGGACGTTTGTGGAAATGTAACTGATGTCGCTGACCCAGTCAGGTGTAGACGACTGCTCACTGCTCAGTGTTTACAGTGGAGTTGAGGAAAAAAAACTTTAAAAATTCCACACAAAACACAAAACCTCCCCAGAAAAGAAAGTACTGATTAACTATTACTGCTACTGACAACAACACTCCCGGACATCAAGAACTACAGAAAAGATAACAAATGTTACTGTGAGTGGACACACAGAAGATGGCCAGTGGAAAGGTGCTCCCTACATTGTGACAGAAAGACTTGGAATACTACCTGTGAACAAATGCAGAGCAAACAGGAGTCACGGCGTCAACGCAATGCGCCTTAAAGCACCTCTGCTGGGAGAACTGGGGGACGAGCCAAGCCGCCCTCTCACCCCTCTGAGACTTAGTGGGCAGCACCGGGACAAAAACCACCATCATCATCAACATCATTTCTCCAGAAAAACTAAACACCAGAGGACTGACACTTTCAACTACAAAGGAATAATACAGTTGTGTGTGTGTGTGCACGTGTGCATTTCAAAAATAAAAATGGCACTTGTTCCTGCTATTTAAAAGGTCAGGTTAGGCCGGGCGCCGCGGCTCACAAGGCTAATCCTCCACCTTGCGGCGCCAGCACACCAGGTTCTAGTCCCGGTTGGGGTGCCGGATTCTGTCCTGGTTGCCCCTCTTCCAGGCCAGCTCTCTGCTGTGGCCAGGGAGTGCAGTGGAGGATGGCCCAAGTGCTTGGGCCCTGCACCCCATGGGAGACCAGGAGAAGCACCTGGCTCCTGCCATCGGATCAGCGCGGTACGCCGGCCACAGCGTGCCGGCCGCGGCAGCCATTGGAGGGTGAACCAACGGCAAAGGAAGACCTTTCTCTCTCACTGTCCACTCTGCCTGTAAAAAAAAAAAAAAAAGGTCAGGTTAGTCTGAACTCAGGCATGGCTGGATCAAGGTGTTCCTGAGTATCCTCAGGACTCAGGCTCTCTCATCCTCTCTCCCTCCACAATCCACCTTTGCTTTCCTGCTCATTGGTTTTGTTCTCTGATGATCTTTCTCCAAGGGAGCCACTGAGTCAACAAGCCCATAGTCTCCTAGCTTGGCAGCCACGGAGGAAACACAAAGACTTCACCCATTCTATCTCCATCGAAGTCCCAGAAAAACCCTCTTGGGCTTTGGTCAGCCCACCCTGGGCCACGTGTCCAACTCGGAACCAGCCACTGTCCGGGAAGGTGCTACTCTCGCTCCCCAGCAGTCAATGCAGTAAACGAGGGGTAAAATCACCAGGCAGACTGAGAGCCGCCAGCAAGGCCATACGTGAGCAACAGCAACCACAGACAGAGAGGACAGGGCGCTTGGGCTGAATGAGCAGCATTTCAGAACCGCTTCTCCCCAGGGGGGTGACGAGCACTAACTCGCTACATTTAGCCTCCCTGAGGAGTCTGGAGCTGCTAGGAACTCAGATATGGAAAGGGGATTTCCTAAGGCCCAAAGTAAGCACTGTGCACTGCCAGCTGGCGTCACTAAGGAGGACCCTGGAGAAGGAGAAAGAGCGCACCCTCCCTGGCAGGTGGAGCTCAGAACAGCTTGATCCAACCACTCAAAGGAATGCAGCCTAACTCTAACACCCTGGTGGAGCAGGATATGTGTGCTCAGCCACTTCTGGCTTCTTTGATTCCTAGTCGAACAATCATAAGACTGTTTTAAAATATTTTCAGTTATAAGATACCAATATGAGAGGACTTGATACAGAATAAACGTGAAAAACTCATTACAAGATGGTGGACTGGGGACGCGCCTAGCAGTTAAGACACCGAAGTCCCACACAGGAGTGCCTGAGTTCCACACCCAGCTCTATTCCGATTGCAGCTTCCTGCTAATGCTGACCCTGGTTGGCAGCAGTAATGGCTCAAGTAATTGAGTCCCTGCCATCCATAAGGGAGACCTTCATTGAGTTCCCAGGCCCTAGCTTTGGCTCCAGCCCTGGCCACTGAAGGCATCTGAGGAGGAACATAGAATATGCTCTATTGATCTCTTATCTCTCATTCTGTCTCTATGCTTCTCAAATAAATTTAAAAGATGATGAACTGTTAAGTACTAGAATGTAGGCTTTCACACCAAATTCTAACCATAAAAACAACAGAACATATGTGAAACATAAATTACTAACTATGCACCAAATGAAAATGGTGAAATGGAGAGATAACTTTTTAAAAGGCAGAAATCATTCTAGATTAGACTGAAGTGGGAAAGTGTAACTTGGAACATCAATGGGACCATATTAACATATCTCTCCCTCAGAGATGGCCACATGGAAGCTTCCACAGGGAATATGGAACCATCACACCCCGCACACCAATTTCTCATGTATCTTAGGGGCAGCACAACCCACCGTCTCCCAGCTTTCAGGAAGAGTGAGTACAGAGCGTGGCCCTGACAGCAGCACAGTAGCTTCAGTCCCCAGCTGGGCTGGGAAAGACAGGATTGCGGTCTAGACCATGAAGAGGTCTGCACAAAACTACTGCCCAACAGCTGCGAAGGGTCTAACACCATAAGAAGGACACAAACTCGAAAAGCTGAAGGACCTTACGCCCAATGAAATAGAAGTAACAAGGTATTACAATAGGACTTTGAAATAAATATAACTGGGGCCAGCGCTGTGGTGTGGCAGGTAAAACCACAGCCTGCAGCGCTGGCATCCCACATGGGTGCCAGTTTGAGTCTCGGCTGCTGCACTTCCGATCCAGCTCTCTGCTACGGCCTGGGGAAGCAGTAGAAGATGGCTCAAATCCTTGGGCTCCTGCACCCTTATGGGAGACCCAGAGGAAGCTCCTGGCTCCTGGCTTCGGATTGGCTCAGCTCTGGCCATTGCAGCCATCTGGGGAGTGAACGCAGATAGAAAATCTTTTTCTCTGTCTCTCTCCCTCTCTCTGCCTCTGCCTCTCTGTAACTCTGCCTTTCAAATAATAAACCTTTTAAAAAACAATAAGTATAATTAATATTTTCAAAAAGATCATGGTGATTTTGCTGCATCACCAGCTGGTGCCCGGACTCACTACCCCTCGCTGCTGTGGCCTTCTCGGAAGTGAACCAGCAGATGAAAGATTCTCTCTCTCTCTCGGTAGCTCTGACTTTCAAATAAATAAATCTTTTTAAATTGCATGAAAATATGTATAATTGAAAAAAACTACACATGGATTTCAAAAATTTTGCAACAAAATCAACTTATCTTCTCTTAAATATTTATTTATTTCCCTCTACTTGAAATGCAGAGTGTCAGAGAGAGAGAGAAAGAGAGAGAGAGAGAGATCTTCCATCTGTTGGTTCATTCCCCAAATGCTCACAACAGCCTGGAATGGACCAGGCCAAAGCCAGCAGCCCAGAACTCCAACCAGGTTCCACCTGTGGGTGACAGGGGCCCAAGCACTTGAGCCATCATCCACTACCTTCTGAGAATGTATTAACAGGAAGCTGGAATCAGGTGCCACAGCGGGAAGCCAAACCCAGCCACTCCAATATGAGACTCGGGCATTTTGACCAGAACTTAACTACTAACCCAAACACTCACCCCGGTACAGATTTTTTTTTTTTTTTTTTTAAGTTAATGGTCTTTTTATTGGAAAAAAAAAAAAAAGGACTAGCATTTACAACTTGGAATGGACGTAATCGTAGTTTCTTGAACAGCCACATTGATGGTTGTGCTGGAGTCCACAGCCACAGCCTACTCTGCCGGCTCCAAGTCATGCTGCAGGTTTTTAAAACAGAGAGTCCAGAGATGCTCCCTTGGGAAAAGTTTCTCATTAAAAATTTGCGTGAATGGTAACAGCCCGGCAGACGCTAAGCCAGCGCAGGCGGGCGTGCCACGAGGCTGCGTGGCTGTCACCGTGGGCCGGAGCACAGAGGGACAGGAGGACCATCCTGTAGTGGGCCTACATCTCAACAGCTCACGCCTCAACCGTCTCACTGCACGGCGTCCTGACGTAAACCAATTTTAAACGCATTTGTTTTCAGGAAACCAGCTATTTATCCTAACAAATCGAACGAGAACCCATCTGGGTGAGTTTTGAATTTGTTGGGTTTTTTTCTTTCATTTTTTGGTTTTGATACAAACGCCTGACTCAGATTCCTTTAAACAACCAAAACCAACCACCCTGACACATGTATTCATGTTTAATGATAATTCTACAAATGCACAGAAACATGAGCAGACTCTCTGGGCCTGGCTTAGGGATACCTACTAAGATTGGAGTGACTGAGTGAGAGGAGGGCGGGGATGAGAGGGACACGCAGCAAACAAGCAAGAATCTGTCAGGCATTTGTTTCTCTCTGAGTAGACACAGACAGCAACCTGGGAACAAGTGTTTCTGGTCTCTTCTCTGAGGGGCGTGAAAAGGCTCAGCCTGCCCATCTCCCACTCCCCACCCCAACACTCAGCTGGTATGCGGAGCTGGAGCAAGAGGAGCAGAGGGTAACTGACTACATGGCCGAAGGCACTAACCATGTGGAAGGAGACTGAGACCTGAGTATTTTAGACCTTGCTCAGTATTAATTAAATCGTCTCAGAAAGATTGAGATGGTTCCAGCAGAGGGCCACGAGCAGGAAGAAACACCCAGGGTCTCAAGAGGGAGCCCTCTGGGAGGAGTGTGGTCTGCTCTAAGAACCATGCTCAGGGGCCCACACTGTGGCTTAGTGGGTAAAGCTGCCACCTACGGTACTGGCATCCCCTATTTGGGCAGTGGTTCAAGTCCCGGCTGCTCCACTTCTGATCCAGCTCCTGCTATGGCCTGGGAAAGCAGGCAAAGATGGCCTAAGTACTTGGGCCCCTGTACTCACGTGGGAGACCCGGAAGAAGCTCCTGGTTCCTGGCTTCGGATCAGCCCAGTTCCAGCCGTTGCAGCTATTTTGGGAGACCCGGAAGAAGCTCCTGGTTCCTGGCTTCGGATCAGCCCAGTTCCAGCCGTTGCAGCTATTTGGGGAGTGAATCAGCGGATGGAAGACCTCTCTTTCTCTCTCTCTATGCCTCTGCCTCTCTGTAACTCTGCCTTTCAAATAAATAAATATCTCTTCAAAAAAAAAAAAAAAAGAACCATGCTCAACTCCAAGGCCTGAAGGTTCAGGAGGCTGAGGCTGCACACATAGTTAGGGACCGTGAACAAAGAGTTTGGAAGCTCACATCTATGTCAGTGCTGGAGCCTCTGCAGGGATCCTTGCAGCACTGCAAAATGACCCACCAGATGGCACAGGACAAGGTTTCCCCTGCTACACCGGAAGACAATGACAGAAGCAAGTGACAGCATGCAGAAAGGGAAGTGCCGGATTTCAGCAAATAAAAAAAGGTAAGTACCCAAATTACTAATTGGAAAAACAAATGATACAATGTCTGCCCTGAACTCACATCCTATGATTATATGGTTTAAAATTACATGGTGTATAATGCCATGCTTGTGTGTCCAATGTATAGGCGCTTCAAGGAACAAATACCAATTTATACAGCCCAGTGCCAAGCAAGGGCCCAAAACACTATGCAGGAATTTAAAAAATGTTTGCATCAAAATAAACTTATATTTTAATTCCATTGCCCACAAAGGTTTTGAAGTCTCTTTGCCTAGCAGACAATGGAGCTATCATCAAAACTGACTGCAGGGGCTGGCATGGTGGTGTAGAGGGTAAAGCTGCTGCCTACAGTTCCCGCATCCCATATGGGCACCAGAGTCTCAGCTGCTCCACTTCCAATCCAGCTCTCTGCTCTGGCCTGAAAAAGCAGTGGAAGATGGCCCAAGTGCTAGGACCCCTGCACCCGCATGGGAGACCTGGAAGAAGCTCCTGGCTCCTGGCTTTGGATCTGCCCAGCTCCAGCCATTGCAAACATCTGGGGAGTGAACCAGCAGATGGAAGACTTACCTCTCTCTCTACCTCTTTGTAACTGCCTTTCAGACAAAATTATAAATCTTAAAAAAAAAAAAAAAAAGAAATGACTGCAGTTTGAGCAACACTACTATGTTAGAATGTAAAAGAATCAGTCTTGCATCTAGAAAAACTCCTTAGCAAGCCTTTTGGCTGAAAAGTAAGGTCCACCCACCCCATCTACATGCCCAGGGGCATAACCTACTGGGAGAAGCTTTGATGAGAAATTAAATGTTCTGCAAGAGCAGTGATGGGAATATGGGAGTTGGCTACCAGGCACAGACAGCAGGGCACGGGGAGCGGGAAGGGGAGAAGGGAGTGCAGCTCTGGCATGCGCGTGTGCCAGTGTGGGCTTCACAATCAGCCTGGCTCCTTCCATGGCACATGTAAAAACAAAATGGTTGTTGTAAAGACAAATCAAAATTCAAAAGCAAGAGGCTTAATCTGTTGAAAATATGGGGAAAGACTTTCTTCCTTTCATAGAGCATTTGCTTTAGCAAACTAGAAAGTTCCTGCTGCCTCTTTGGAATGAGTACAAATCTTTTTTAAAAGCTATACACGTGTCTTGCCAACCTTACCACCCAAGAATGTCTTTCTTGAGGACCTGGGAGCCAGTTCGTTAAAGTTCCACCTCCCAGTTTCCATGGAAGGGCAGGAACCTAACTTGCAGAGGCATTTTGCTTATGCTGCAAATCTACGTCTCCTCCCAAAGATATTAGAAGCTTGTTTTTCCTCTGATTAAGCCAACTAGCTAACACAGAGGTCACCCCAGTTACCAGGTCAGTCCAGTATACACTACGTGTGATAAATGCAGCTATCAAGTCCTCTTACTTAAGGATTAGCTATTTATCTTTTTTAAAAAAGATTTATTTATTTATTTATTTGAAAGTCAGAGTTACACAGAAAGAGAAGGAGAGGCAGAGAGAAAGCGAGGTCTTTCATCCACTGGTTCACTCCCCAGTTGGTTGCAACAGCCAGAGCTGGGCCAATCCAAAGCCAGGAGCTAGGAGCCTCCTCCAAGTCTTCCCACACAGGTGCAGGGGCCCAAAGACTTGGGCCACCTTGTACTGCTTTCCCAGGCCTTAGCAGAGAGCTGGATTGGAAGTGGAATAGCCGAGATGGGATGCCCATATGGGATGCCGGCACTGCAGGTAGCAGCTTTACCCACTACACCACAACCCACTATGCCAAAACGCCGGCCCCGCGTTATTTACCTTGAAAACATGATTGTTGTATATGCCTGGCCGTGTATCTGTCTTTGCAATTTCTTAGCAATTGCCTGGAATGTTCATCACATTCTGGAGTAATGCTTATTCAATAATAATACTGTTTCTCAGGGCCGGTGCTGTGACATAATGGGTAAAGCTGATGCCTAAGGCGCCAGCATCCTATAAGGACACTGGTTTGAGAGCTGAGATAAACACTGCTCAAACACTGGTTTGAGAAGCTCCCTGCTGCTCCACTTCTGATCCAACTCCCTGCTACCGCACCTGGGAAAGCAGTGGAAGATGGCCAGAGTATTTGGGCCCCTGCACCCATATGGAGACCCGAATGAAGCTCCTGGCTCCTGGCTTCAGATTGGCTCAGCTCCGGCCATGGCAGCCATCTGGGTGGGGAGTGAACCAGCAGATGGAAGATCTCTCTGTCTCTGCTCTCTCTCTCTCTCTCTCTAATAAACAATCTTTTTAAAAATTGTATTAAAAAACTGTGCATGTGCTGAGAAAGGCAAAAGAAAAAATGAAGTAGGAGGGAGGGTCTGAGAGGCTGAGTACTCCTGGGAGATTTTGCAGGGGTGGAGAATAAAGTAATAAAAGAATAGCAGCTAGTACCGAGAGAGATTATGTGCCGGACACTGTTCTAAGTGCTTCAACATACTCTATCATTTAGCGTATGCAGCAGCTTGGATGACTTTTTTCTCAATTATTCATTCCCACGCTGTGCCTGTGGCCTCACAGTATACCAGCATGGGCAGAAGGGCAGGATGAGGTAAGGACTGACTTGGGAAATAAATGTGAAACAAACTTTTTGCTGAGGTGAAGGTTAGTGGAAAAGGCCAGTTTCTGCTATTACCTAGGATGGCAATGTAAGCCATTTTCTTTGGCTGTTACAGAACTGGAGACCAGCCGAGGGTATACGCAGAGGCTGGAGGCAGGAGCAGGCCCAGAGAACAAGAGATCAGATACCGTGCAGCGAGTCCTTTTCCAGGTCTGGCTCAGGAAAGAGATTCACCTTTGCCCAGACTGCCAGACACAGCCCCTGGGAGCCGGATGCTCATATCAATGTGGATCGAGAACTTAGATAGGGGCCCATGCAGGCTGCATCTGACTGATTTCTGGATGGGTGATGGTGTCTGAGCTCTGACTCACCCTTCTAATGGTTGCAAACCTCCAACCAGCATGGGAGGAACTGCTGCTCCTGGGTTTCCTACCACGAAGACCAGGAAATAGCCCAGGAACAAAAATTAATCTGAAACCTACTGAAGGGGAACCGCTCACTCACCTGGAGAGCACCAAGTTCACGGGTGCCTAAGTGATTCCCCACAGTAGCCTAACATACTGTCTCCATACCCCTCAAGGAGATTAAACAAAATGAAGCTTTCCCTGCCCTGCCTCAGGCCTCTCTCAAGAAGTCTGGTCCATGGTATTTGGTGATGCGGGGACCCTAACACCTGGATGCTGAGCGGCGTCCTACCATACTTTCCATTCTACCACACCAGCGTGGCTCAAACTGTAGTCAGTTTTTGAGAAGGTTTTGGGGGACCTGGCAGGGGGCAAGTCTTGAGCTGTCACTGGTCCAGGTTCTAGGCAGCCTGGACACCCTACCTAGAGAAGAATCCCTGCTCACTGATGGAAGGACAGGGCTCACAGGCAGGAAGCCAAGGGAGGGAGCACTTACTGGGCCCCTAACCCAGTCCAGCCTACGGAAGCCATCCCCGTTCCCAGCCCAGAGAAGCAGAGGGGATCATCCACTCTTTCTCACAGCTCCTCCCCAGACCTAGAGACCTTTGAGGGTGTTCTCATGCTTGCTCCCTCAAAATAGGAGGGGTCTACCCCAGGTTCCCCTCCCCGAGGTCCATAGCTGCCCTACCCTGGCGGGGCCCCTGCATTTCCACACAGGAGGCACGGCCCTTCCCACAACCTGCTCTATGGCTCCTCTCACAGGTTCAGGCTAGTCCGGGGCGGGGACTTTCAAGCGCCTAAAAATTGTGCAGAGGGCGGGGACCTAGGCCGGTCTTTTAAAGGCCTGCAACTGGCCCCGAGGCGCCAGGAGGCCCTGGGCGGTCCGCTCACCTACGCTGCCAGGGGCACCATGGGCCGCTACCACATCTGCGTAGCCACCGGGGCCTGGATCTTCTCTGGGTCGCACAACCGCGTGCAGCTGTGGCTGGTCGGGGCGCGCGGGGAGGCGGAGCTGGAGCTGCAGCTGCGGCCAGCGCGGGGCGAGGTCAGCAGGAAGCCAAGAGGGACCCCGGGCCGGGTTTGGCTCATTATGGGTGGGCGGAGAGGGGCAGGAGGCAGGCGGGGGCTTACACTTCCTTCGAATCCCAGAATGGGTGGGAGGTGTGAGGAGCGTCGGGAGCCCAGATCCCAGGCTGGGGCTTGGCCCCCGCCTCCTGCCCGCGACCCTGGTCCTGGTAGCCCCCACTTCCTTCTCCAATGCACGCCCTGTGGTCGACAACGGCTCCCGGCTCCCGCAAGCAGAGGCTCGGGGAGCGTTCGGGGAACGGGCGCCGACTATGGGACGACGCTCAAACTCCGCGGGTCCTCGGCCTCCCCAGCGCGGTGGCGTCCGACACCCACCGGGCAGGCCGCGCAGGGAGCGAGTGATGGGACGTTGCCTTTCGCGGCCTGGGTCCGCTGAGGCATAAGCGAACCCCTCCCAAGTCCTCTCGTCGTCCTCCTCCCCGACCCCAGCCCACACACCCCCCGCAAACGGCCGCCCCCGGGCCCAGCTTTGAGCGCGGCTCCCACAGGAGGAGGAGTTCGAGCACGACGTCCCCGAGGAGCTGGGGCCGCTGCAGTTCGTGAAGTTGCGCAAACACCACTCACTGGTGGACGACGCGTGGTTCTGCGACCGCATCACGGTGCGGGGCCCCGGAGCCCACGAGACAGCGACCTTCCCGTGCTACCGCTGGGTGCGCGGCGACGGTGTCCTGAGCCTGCCTGAGGGCAGCGGTGAGCGGGCAGCGCCCGGCCTCCTCGGACGCGCGGGTGCGGCGGGTGGGCGGGCGGGCGCTGAGAAAGGTCACGGCGGGTAAAGGGTGGAGACGCCCAGGTGCAGGGCTGGCGACAGGAAGAAGCTCGGGAATCGTGAGGCTGAAAGCCATGTCTGGCGCACGGGAAGGCGGGGAGTGGGGGGTGGGGGAGCTGCGGGCGAGGATGGAAAACAGAGAAGCAAAGTCCTGGGGAAAAGGAGAGCTCTGTGTGACTCAGGGCAAGGAGGCGCGAGGGGACCACACGCAGCAGGAGATGGTGCGGGAAGGGAGATGCTGTTGCGTGGCTCCCTGGGAGCAGGAGGACACAGGACAAATGGCAGGAGGGGATGAGTAAGCCACAAATGTTGACTTTTTCTTGGTATGATGGGAAATCCAGACACAGGAGAGTAGGGCTGGCAAGGTTGGTAACAGGATCTATCTACAATGTTGACCCCAAGTATTCACAGGAGAAGGAACAACTCAATAAACACAGATTATGACGGCGGGTCCAAGAGAGGTGAAGTCAGGTACAGAAAGCAAACAGGGGCAGGCGCTGTGGTGGAGCAGCAGGCAAAGGCCATGCCTGCTTCCCTTAAGGGCTGCGGTTTGAATCCCAGCTGCTCCACTTCCAGTCCAGCTCCCTGCTAATGGCCTGGGAAAAACAGAGACTGCCCAAGTGCTTGGGACCTTTACCCTCATGGGAGACCTGAAAGAAGCTCCTGGTTTCAGTCAGGGCTGGGCATTTAGGGAGTGAACCAGAAGATGGAAAAATCTCTTTATCCCTGTAGCTCTTTCAAATAAATAAATCTTTAAAAAAATTTTAAAAAGAATCTTTGGAGAACAGAGGGAGGTGTGACAACTGAGGTTGAAGGAGCACAAAATTAGCCAAGCAAAATACAGAAGACAAGTGAGAGCACACAGGTGATCCAGACTTTATCAACTTAATGAGGGTAATTTTATTTTTAAGTATTTATTTGAAAGCCAGAGTAGCAAAAAGAGAGAGAGGTCTTCCATCCGCTGGTTCATTCCCCAGATAGCCACAACAACCAGGGCTGGGCCAGGCCAAAGCCAGGAACGAGGAGCTTCCTCTAGGTCTCCTATATGGGTGGCAGAGGCCCAAACACTTGGGCCATCTTCTGCTGCTTTTCCCAGGCCATTAGCAGGGAGCTGGATGGGAAGTAGAACAGCAGAGACTCATGGTTCGAATGATTTTCCCCAACCTTACATATTGATGAAGTGGGCAGGAAGGGGACGATGAGTCAAGGAACAAGAAAAGGTGACAGGCATGAGATTTCCGTCTCCAGGCAAGAGCTGAGGGCTGGTGTCAGTGAGATCAGGAGCGTACGGTTGGCAGAGATGGGATAAATGCACCTGAGGCTCAATCAAGAGGCAACGCCAGAGATAAAAGCATCAGTGCAGGGCCGAGAAGAGGGATGTAACAGAAAACAAGACGAGGACAAGCCAGGAAAGCGCAGGCCCAGACCAAGCTGTGTGGCCAATCATCTTCATGTCTCCCCAGCCCGCCTGGCAGTAGACAATGCCTCGGACATCTTCCAGAAACATCGAGACAAGGAACTAGAGGAAAGACAGCAGATGTACCGGTAACAACCTACCCATGGGCCTCCCAGTCGTCCCACCCGTTCCCTCACACAGCCCCATCAGACCCCCCACCTCCCTGAAGCTTTGTCCCCAATTTCCAGGTGGGCCACCTGGAAGGAAGGCCTGCTCCTGACAATAGCAGCAGACTCTAAGGACGATCTACCCCCCAATATGAGATTCCACGAGGATAAGAGGCTGGACTTTGAATGGACGCTAAAGACAGTGTGAGAGAAAGGCTGGGGCTCAGAGCGGAAAAGGGGTGGGGAGATCCAGAATGGTGGCATATGGGAAAGGGCTGAGGGACAGGCGCAGGAGGCCGTGCCCCAATATGTCTCCCTAGGGCTCTGGAGATGATCTTCAAACGTGTTTACACTCTCCTGAGCTCCTGGGACCGTCTAGAAGACTTCGATCAGATCTTCTGGGGCCAGAAGAGTGCCCTGGCTGGTCAGTGGTTCCCCCAGGTCTCATAACCCCTTCTCATGACCGATGCATCACACACCACAGTCCCCATAATTCCTTGAAAGACAAGACCTCATCCTGTCTGGCCATCTCAGAGGGACTCAAGAATGAAGAGGGCTGGGCACAGGGTAGCAATATGCCTCCTTCCCTGAGGTAGGGTCTGGAGGAGAGCGGTACCAAGGTAGATACCCTCCCTCCTTTACCCCACCCCACAGAGAAGGTTCGGCAGCACTGGCAGGACGATGAGTTTTTTGGCTACCAGTTCCTCAATGGCGCCAACCCCATGCTGCTGCGACGCTCCACCTGCCTGCCCTCTAGGCTAATGCTGCCATCGGGGATGGAGGTGCTTCGCGTCCAACTGGAGAAAGAACTCCAGGTAAGGAGGCTGCAGTAACCACTGATGCTTGATGCAGAGTCCTGTGCTAGAAAATGCTAGAAATGGTCAAATACGTAGGGGGACAAACTCCAAGGAGGTTCCAGCATGAGGGAGAAAGAAGGTGGATTCCCAGCACACAGATGGGGGCCAGCAGCAGGAACGGGCACAGTGACATTCCCTGGCTGATGTCAGTGTTCTGAACGGCAGTGTTTATGGGCCATCAGGGGAGGACACAGAGGTTTTCTGGAAAAGAGAGAGCTGGATTTGGAAGAGATGACTTTCACATGAGAGTGAGCTTAGGTGGGATGTGTGTGTGCATGTGCGTGTGTAATCAGGGGGAGCTCTGTGAGACACTGGGCAGAGGAGATGAGTTTGAACAAGGCATGGAGGAAGGTTTGCTAAACCGATGAAAGCCAAGAGCAGAAAACAGATCATCAGGGATGAGGTGCGAAGGGGCCTGGCGATCTTGACAAGAGGTCCGTTGATGATGCCTGTGATGCAGACTGGATGGAGCAGGCCTGGTTCTAAACCCGCATCTGCTACCACATTCCCATGCACACGACATCTACCCTCACTAGGCTGTTTACAGTGAGAGGGACTGCAGCAGGTACCACAGCTCTATCCTAGAACTCTGGTGCTGACGGAGGATAATGGCAAGAAGCCAACGAACGTCTTCACACATTTGCACTCTGAAAATGGACACCGTCCTCCTCTCCCCAGAACGGCTCCCTGTTTGAGGCTGACTTTATCCTGCTGGATGGACTCCCAGCCAATGTGATCCGAGGAGAGCAGCAGTACCTGGCTGCCCCCCTCGTCATGCTGAAGATGCAACCCGATGGGAAGCTGCTCCCCATGGTCATCCAGGTGAGGCACCCTGGGCATCTCCCTCCAACACTGTGCTCTGTTCACCACAGCCTCTGCTCCCAGGGATCCAAGCCCTGGCTCACGGCTCCCAAAGCCCATCCTCCCTCAGAGACCTGTCCTCATCTCTTGGCTTGCAGCTTGCTCTCCCTTGACTCACTCAAGAGGCAATACAGGTGCAAGAGCCATAATGGCCCCCTGGAGTTTGCATCCCCATACAGTTCTCCAACTCCAGTGTGCAGCAGAATCTCTGGAAGGGCCTGTGAAGAACACAAGTTGCCACGCCCCACTACCAGCCTGTCCGGTTCACTAAGTCTGGGGTGGGAACCAAATCTGCATTTCTTACAAATTCCAAAATAATGCTGCTGCTGTTTCAGACCACACCGTATTTGCCTTGGACACCCACTGTCCATCTTGAGTATCTTCTTCCTCACCGAGCATTAGCGATAACCTTACACACCCAGCTCCTGCTTCCCACTCTGCCCCCAGAGCTCCAACCCCCAGCTCATTTCCCCCAAGCCACTGATAGGACCTCTTACTGGACTCTTTGCTTCCAGCCTTTGCACTCAACCCACCATGATGGAACAGCTATTGAAAGGCAAGGTAGTATGGTTCTTGTTCCTCTTACCATATTATAATCCCTGTAAGATGGGGCTGGCATTGTGGTACAGCGGGTAAATCCTCTGCCTACAATGCCAGCAACCCAAATGGGTGCTGGTTCAAGTCCCAGCTGCTCCATTTCTGATCCAGCTCACTATTAATGACCTGAGGAAAGCAGGGGAAGATGGCCCAAGTGCTTGGGCCCCTGCCACCCATATGGGAGACCCAGAAGAAGCTCCTGGCTCTTGGTTTTGGCTTGGCCCAGCCCAGGTGGTTTGAGGCCATATGGGGAGTGAAGCAGCAGATGGAAGACCTCTCTCTTCCTTCTCCTTCCCCATAATTCTGGCTTTCAAACAATTACATAAATCTTCAAAATATACATGTATATAATCCCCTGGGAGGCAATCATCTCAGTCTCCTCTGTTGTCCCAAGAATGGTGACCCCGTCACACAGAGTGGGAGGTTACTAAACACTTCATTTCTCTTTCTCCCAGATTCAGCCTCCCAACGCCGGCTCTCCCACCCCAACACTGTTCCTGCCCTCAGATCCCCCACTTGCCTGGCTCCTGGCCAAGTCCTGGGTCCGAAATTCAGATTTCCAGCTGCATGAGCTCCAGTATCACTTGCTGAACACGCATCTGGTGGCTGAGGTCATCGCTGTCGCCACCATGAGGTGCCTCCCGGGACTGCATCCTGTCTTCAAGGTACAAGCTCTGCCCTCTGTCTCATTTCTCTCAGACCCAAAGGACAATGCAGCAGCAAAAAACATACGTACAGCTGTTTGTGATTGAAAAGGGGGACAAGAAAATAAGACTTATCAACATCTTGCGAACTGTATTCTAATTAAGCTGAAACTCTTAGCGCTTCACAGGACACACTGTAAGGGGAACCCTCTGAAATTCTTGGAGATCTGATACTCCACAATACCGATGGGATGTTGTCAGTTCAACAAGAACCTTATTCTTGCCCTAGGATAGTTAGCATTTGGCCAGGAAGACAAGAAGTCCCCATAAGAATCAACCAGAGAACAGCAACTGGAATGAGAGTTTGAATTCACAGGGGATCAGGCTACAGGTGGTTTATGGCACTTACAGAGAATGTTCCATCCCAACTCAGACAGCAAAGTAGGAACAGAACAGATTTAAAGGCAAGAAGAGCTGCCCTGCAGGGTTTTTAGACCTGCCAGAGAGAAGGGCTGATAAGGACACACCCTAGAGTGGCGGTTTCAGGAATGAAAAGAATGGCCGGTGCTGTGGCTCAATAGGCTAATGCTCTGCCTTGCGGCGCCGGCACACCAGGTTCTAGTCCCAGTCGGGGTGCTGGATTCTGTCCCGGTTGCCCCTCTTCCAGGCCAGCTCTCTGCTGTGGCCAGGGAGTGCAGTGGAGGATGGTCCAAGTCTTTGGGCTCTGCACCCGCATGGGAGACCAGGAAAAGCACCTGGCTCCTGGCTTCGGATCAGCGTGATGCGCCGGCCGTGGCAGCCATTGGAGGGTGAACCAACGGCAAAAGGAAGACCTTTCTCTCTGTCTCTCTCACTGTCCACTCTGCCTGTCAAAAAAAAATTTTTTTTAAATATAAATGAGGAATGAAAAAAAAAGACTTGGTGAAGGGATGAAACTATTTTCATCATGTCAGCATGATTTCATCATTTCAGCATGTCAGGGTACAAGGCTGCAGACAGCAAGTTTCTGCAGTACCTGGAAGCTCGCAGGGAAGGTGTGTTGTGCAGTACAACCTAGAAACACAGTAACTTTATAAAATGATGAATTCCATACGTCGATAGATGGAAGGCAGCAAAATAAGACTTGCTTTAAAAATCTTTTCAAAATCTTGATGACACTTTATTAGGGAACATGGCAGAGAGAATATATTTATTTACTTATTTTATTGAGAGAGTTCCAGAGGGAGGGAGAGACAGAAAAAGGTGTTCCATCCTCTGGTTCACTCCCCAGATGGCTGCAATGACCAGAGCTGGACCGATCTGAAGCCAGGAGCCAGGAGCTTCTTCCAGCTCTCCCACTCGGATGCAAGGGCCCAAGCACTAGGGCCATCCTCTCCTGCTTTCCCAGGCCATAGCAGAGAGCTGGACTGGAAGAGGAGCAGCCAGGATATGAACTGGCGCCCATATGGGATGCCAGAGCCACAGGTGGATGCTTAGCCCACAATGCCACAGAAACAGAGAAGTTAGAAAAAGCCAACTTGGGAGTAAAAATGAGGGTTCAGTTTTAAGTATGTGGAGTCTGAAACATCGGCAAGTACATGGCAAGGAGGAAAACCAAACTGTGTTTCTGTTGGAGGCCTCGGCCTGGATCCCTCAAGTCTGACCGATACAGCTGGGACCCCCGAGAAGTTATCCCTTTGGACACATGGACAAGACAGAGACCTGTCTGATTAGCAGAATCCTGGATGTCACTTATCTCACGACGCCTCCTGCCTCATCATCTTCTGCCCAACTCGAGCAAGTGGAAACCTCTACCACACAAACCCCTGTTCCACTCTGCCCTTGCCCTGCCTCCATTCGCCCTCCAGTGGCAAACAGCTGGGCTGTGCTCAGACACACAGGAGGCTGGGCTTGCAGGTGTCCCAGCAGCCACCCGTGCAGGCTGCTCGGCATCCTGAACCTGGCCTCAGTACTCACCAGATGGCCTCCACGGTGGGGTTGGTCAGGTGACGTAACACACTCTTGTGGCACAATGAGTGCTTGCAGTTGTCATTAGAGGCTGTGTGTCCTCAGGCATCTTCTCGCCTTGTGTGGACTCGAGCTTTCTAGCACATTAAGCATCTGTGATGAGCTTTCTGAAAAGTTTCAGACTCATATGAGCTGCTTTGATAGCTCAACTCCAAAGTGTCACTTGAGCTGTTTCTACGTCCAGTATCAACAAATCAGATGAATGCCAGAATTGCACGCAACCTGGAAGACAAATAGACTAAGATAAGAAACACACACGAAGCTGGCACAACGGCTCACTAGGCTAATCCTCCGCCTGTGGCGCTGGTACTCCGGGTTCTAGTCCCAGCTGGGGCACCGGTTCTGTCCTGGTTGCTCCTCTTCCAGTCCAGCTCTCTGCTGTGGCCCGAATGGCCCAGGTGCTTGGGCCCTGCACCCGCATGGGAGACCAGGGGGAGGCATCTGGCTCCTAGCTTCGGATTGCACAGCACGCTGGCCATGGCGGCCATTTGGGGGATGAACCAACCAGAAGGAAGACCTTGCTCTCTGTCTCTCCCTCTCACTGTCTAACACTGCCTGTCAAAAAAAAAAAAAAGAAAAAAAAAAGAAAAAGAAACACACATGAGACTCAGGTAGCTCTTCAAATGGCTGAAGAAAAGCAGGAGAGAGGGGGCCTACCAGAGCCTGACTGGGTGCAGACAGACGTTGACACAGCTTCTGCAGGTTGCTCAACTGCACCCTTAATTCTGACTAAAAGTACCCTCCCTACCCACCTTCCAAAGAAACCCAACAGTAAAACGACCAAAGGATGAAGATGCAGAGTTTATTATTATTATTTGAAAGGCAGAACTAGAGAGAGAGGGAGAGACAGAAAGAGATCTTCCATCCACTGGTTCACCACTCTCCCCCCACACACACACAAATGGCCATGATGGCCAGGGCTGTGTCAGGAGTCTAGAACTCCATCCGAGTCTCCCACAGGTCCAAGTACTCAGGTCATCATCTGCTGCCTTCCCAAGCACATTATCAGGGAGCCAGATAGGAAGCAGAGCAGCCAGATTCAAACCCGCACTCATATGAGATGCCAGTGTCACAGGTGGCAGCTTAACCCACTGTGCCACAACACTGGCCCCTAGAGTTCATTTTTTCTTTTAAACATTCTTGGTTTAAGATCAATTGATTTATTTGAAAGGCAGAGTGACACGGAAAAAGGGAGAGACAGAGAAATTTTCCATCTATTGGTTCACTCCCCAAAAAGGTCACAACAGCCAGTACTGGGCCAGGCCAAAGCCGCGAGCCTGGAACTCCATCCAGGTCTCCCAAATGAGTGGCAGAGACCCGGCTACTTGGGCCATCATCTGCTGCCTCCCCAGGTGCATTAGCAGAAAGTGGAGCAACTGGGACTTGAACTGGCACTCCAATATGGGATGCAGGTGTCCCAGTCGTACCTTAACCCACTGTGCCACAACATGGGCCCCAGGAAGTACAGTTTGGAAAATGAGTAGAGAGGCCAGTTTAAGCCACAAGGGGGTGAATGACAGAGGAAGGAAGTTTAAAAGAAAACCAGAAGGGTCTGATTCCTAACAGACACCTACACTCGGAGTAGTGGTAGCAATATTTGAGGACGCGTCGCTGACACAGGGTCATCACAGCTCCTTGACATAAGAGATCCCATTACTGCCCCCTGTTGACAGATGAGGAGGCTGCTGCCCAAGTATCAGAGCAGCACAGTACAGCGTGAAGTCCTGGTCAGCGGGGCTGCAGAGCACCACTCACAGGAAGTTGGGGAGCACGCGACTGAGTGATGGGAGAAGCCAAAGACCAGCCTGTCAAGGCAGCAGCAGGGAGTGAGAAGCTGGGCGCCCGGCCCTACAAGCAAGTATCCAAGCATGACCCCATTAACCACCCAGCTCTGTCTCCTTGTCCCCAGCTCCTCATGCCCCATATCCGCTACACCATGGAAATCAACACCCGGGCCCGGAGCCAACTCATCTCCGATGGAGGAATATTTGATCAGGTAAGGAGGAAAGGGGGATGGAGCCACCTAAGCCTCCAGCTTGCTGTGACCCTCCACTACCCGCAGGCCCCCGGAGCCGCCGGTGTAACGTCCTGACCCTTAGACTCACGGGCCCAGTGCCTTTTACAGCCTCGACTAATCTGAAACCCCACCTCCAAAGCCCTCTACAGGATGCCAGGGTTCTCCAGCCCTGCTTCCATCTTTCAAGAGCTGTCGCCTCTCTTGTCCCAGGCAGTGAGCACAGGTGGAGGGGGCCATGTGCAGCTGCTACGCCGGGCAGTGGCTCAGCTGACCTACCACTCCCTGTGCCCTCCTCACGACCTGGCTGAGCGGGGCCTGCTGGGAATCCCAAGTGCCCTCTACGCCCACGATGCTTTGCGGCTCTGGGAGATCATCACCAGGTGAGTGAGAGGGAGCTGAGGACTAGGGGGCGAGGGGGAGGGAGGGGCTCTGCTTCAGGTCAGCACGGGGCAAAGGCAAAGGGAGAAGCAGCAGCTCCACACAGGAGGAGCAGAGGGCACGGCGCAGGGGCCAGACGAGGGACAGTGAACAGACACTGGGGTGCGTCAGAGAGCAGAGGTGAGGAAGCTGTGGAGAGAGCCAGGGAACTGAAGAATCAGGACTTTGTCAGAAAGGAGAGAAAGCAACTGTGCATGGGGAATTCTGAGGATGAATGACCCGCATTTCCTGCTGTGACACCCTGTACCCTGGTGTGTTGAAAGGGTAGGCAGTGTCCCCAAAAGGCGGGTCCCCTGGCACAGGAGAGTCAGCTGAGCAGAGGCCCCAGAGGAGCAGGGGTCAGAGGCTGTGGCCTTCTACTCTCAGAGCTCGGCTCCCTCCTCCTCTGGGCAGGTACGTGGAGGGCATCGTCCTCCTCTTCTACCAAAGCGATGACGTTGTGAGGCGTGACTCCGAGCTGCAGGCCTGGTGTCGGGAGATCACTGAGGTGGGGCTGCGCCAGGCCCAGAACCGAGGTAAGATCTGACCCAGGGACGGGAGCACTGGGGAGACTCCACCAGAGCCCTTCCCAGCCCTGCCCCTCTGGGGCCGGGATGCCACCCTGTCACCACACCCCTCACTCAAGACAGAACAGCTTCTGAATCCCACTCACACCTGCTAAGACTCAACCCCAGGGACTGTGCTCCTGGGAGACCCTGGTCCTCAGACGCCACTCTGCCCTACCCCTAGGTTCAGCTGCCGTAGTGTGGCACTGGGCGAGCCAAGAGTTTCTGCCTGGGGCCTGCTGGGGCTCACATTCTCTCTCGCGGCTCCCTAGTTTTCTACCTGAGGCTTTAAACAAGGAGATTTTCCCACCCCGGCTCTCCCTTCCTTCTCCTCCCGCCTGCTGCTGTCCAGCACACACTGGCCACAGTACAAGGTCATTTCTAGGTGCCAACTGAGTACTGTCCACGCTTTGCCTCAAACCCGAGCTCAGGACCCTGACCCATGTGTGGGGCTCAAGTTTCTTCGGCCAATCCAGCCTCCCTCCCCACCGCCCCCGTCCCAGATCTAACCGCTACCTTTAGTCCCGCCAGGCCCCATGCCGTAGTCTGTGGAGAAGAAACAGCCTTTCCCGAGCTCTTCCTAGCTGCGTGCCCTCCTCTCTGACACACAGGGGCCAACCTGCTCTGCTCTGAGTCACCCTTCAGCCCCCGCCCTCACCCCGAATCCCATCTTCTGCCTCTACAAACATTTACCGGGGAGCCACTATGGCCAGGCCCTGCGGATGCCGCCAACACCTGTGCTCTGGTCCCCAGGGGCCACGTGTCCCCAGGACCCCTTCTTCTTTCTTCCTCTCCCGGGGTGTCTTTGCCCCGATAAATATACTGTCTTAGTCAGTTTGGCTGCTGCAACAATTATCACACCTGAGTAGCTTGTAGACAACAGAAACGTACTTCTCCCAAGACCAGGGTACCGGCACGTTCCAAGTTCTGGTGAGACAGCCCACTTCCTAAAGCAGCGCATGGCACAAAGCGAGCAAGCCGGCTCCCTGGCCTCTTCTGAAAGCCCCCTCATGAGGGCTCCGCCCTCCCCACCCCAACGCCTCCCAGGGTCTCCACTTCCATCACCCTGCCGGTTAGACTGCAACATATGCATCTGGGAGGGACCTACAGGCAATCCTAACACAGCACACGTTAACTGTAACCTCCACTGACTGCCTCTCATCCTGTCCCTCCCCAGCTCTTCCTCAGTTCTCACAGTTCCCCTCTAATGTCCTCCACAGACTTTACAGAGGAAGCTTGCTAAAATCAAAACTATCTCGGGTTAGTCAGTAGTCAGGAGCTTGAGTTCAAGGTCAGACTGTGCCTTTGCCCTACTAGGCAAAACTGACTGGCAGTTCAATCTCTCTGGTCCTTGATTTTCTTATCTAATGACATTTGTTACACTTAACTAAAGGGATTGTTGGGGCTCTGGGTAGGTCCGGTGACCTCCACCTACAAATGAATGGCACGAGGTCAACCTTGTGAGAAGCTCCTCTTTATCAGTTACACCGGAAATCCACGACTTCTCTTATTCCCACCTTACAACTCAGAGACTTAAAATTCCCTGTCTGGGAACAAGAGGAAGCATCCTAAATTTGCAACTGCTTCAGCGCCTAACTCTTCCATAGTAACAATTCATTGAGTGTTTATTACCTAACAGGTGATTTTGATACATGTTATAGGTGACACAAACTGAGCTTCTGAGAGGTTAAGTAATTAGCCTAAGGTAACCAAGCTCTAAGGCATTGAACCAGGATTGAAACCTATGTCTAATGCAAATGTATCTAAGTAAATGAACGAATCAGTACACACTAATCAATTCTAAAACATGGACACCCCAAGACATCAGCCTGTACGTCTCTCTTAGCTACAGCCTCTAGCTGGTGTTCTTTCCCACCCAGGTTTCCCCATCTCCTTCCAGTCCCAGACTCAACTCTGCCACTTCCTGACCATGTGTGTCTTCACGTGCACAGTCCAGCATGGGGCCATCAACCAGGGCCAGGTATGGGCAGCTGAGACCCCAGGTCCCTGCGGGCAAGCAACTGGACATCTAGACCTTTGGGAGGCGCACAGGAGAGATGCGGGTTCAAATCCTAAGTATCAGGGTTCTAGGGTTTCAGTTTCTTCCTACAGCTGGACTGGTATGGCTGGGTCCCGAATGCCCCATGCACAATGCGGATGCCCCCACCTACCACCAAGGACGATGTGACAATGGCTACGGTCATGGGGTCACTGCCTGATGTCCGGCAGTCCTCTCTTCAGATGGCCATCACGTGGCATCTGGGTCGCCAGCAGCCAGACATGGTGAGAGGGGGTTCTGGGGAGAGGGAGACGAGGGCAAGAAAGGAAACATGAGAGGGGCTGGCTCTAGGGGCTTCTGTCTTCAGACTAGAAACTCACTGACCTCTTGTTCCGTCTCAGGTGCCTCTGGGGCATCACAAAGAAGAATATTTCTCAGATCCCAAGGCCAAAGCTGCGCTAAGCCAATTCCAAACAGATCTGGAAAACTTTGAAAAAGAGATCACAGCCCGGAACGAGCCCCTTGACCTGCCCTATGAATACCTGAAGCCCAGCCGCATAGAGAACAGCATCACCATCTGAGCTGGACGGCGCGCCCCCAGGAGGACGGGCCTCTGCGTCCTGAATGTTACCTGCTTTCCCAACTCCGCTGCCGGGACTCCGGGTCCTCCCCCGGGTGAGCCCTCGACATCAGCAGTGCCTAGTCAGGGGGACACTCAACTCTGTAAAGGACAGAGTGAGATTTGGGGCTTTGTAGACCACACAGTCTCCATCACAACTTCTAGGCACAGACGATACAGAAACAAACAAGTGTGGTTGTGTGCCAATACAACTCGATTCATGGAATACACCAATATATGACCTTCACAGGTCTCCAAGCACTCATACTTAGGTTTATTCAGCCATTTTAAAATGAAGCGGGGGGGCTGCTGTTGTGGCACAGTGGGTAAAGTTGCCACTTGCAACACCGGCATCCCATATGGGCACCGGTTCCAGTGCGAGCTGCTCTGCTTCTGATCCAGCTCCCTGCTAATGGCCTGGGAAAAGCAGCAAAAAGATGACCCAAGTTCTTGGGTCCTCGCCACCCACGTGGGAGACCCAGATGGAATTCTTGGTGCCTGGCTTCCACTGAAGCATTTTGGGGAGTGAACTAGCAGATAGAAGATGTTTCTCTCTCTCTCTCTCTCTCTCTCTCTCTCTCTATATATATATATATATATATACACACACATATATATACATATATATGTATATGTATATATATACATATACATATATATGTATATATATACACATATATATATCTGCTTTTCAAATAACTGAATAAATCTTTAATAATAGAATGCAAAAACATGTTTTAAATGTGCTTTGCTTCAGGGATGTGCACAAGTTACAAGGTGAATTTGGCCCTGGTAGCCTGCACTAACTTGGATCTCTGATGGTAATTCCAAAACACCCAAGAGCTTGGGGGTGGGGTGGATGGCGGTACAGGGAGAGTCAGAGAAATCAGCTACTTCCATTTATTCTCCTTTCCCAGGAACTAGCTAGTTGCTTGGTGACCAGCTTACAAATTCCTGACCCCTATTCCTCCCATTCATACATGTACTCCCCAAAGTCCCTGAGTAAGAGTGGTGCTCCTGGGGCAAAATAAAAACTTTGGCCTCAAAATGCCTTCCCTCCCTAGACAGTCCCAAACAGAAAAGATAACAAAATTCATGTTTCAATTCCACTTTCCCAGCCCCTTTAATACCCTGGGAGCTCCACGTGTTTCCCAAATTCCAAGTTCTCTTTCACAACCATTTCAAAAACAGTATGTAGGAGCCAGGGCTATGGTGCAGAGGGTTAAAGCCCAGCCTTCAGTGCTGGCATCCCATATGGGTGTCGGTTCAAGTCTCAGCTGTTCCACTTCAGATCTAGCTCCCTGCTAATGCACCTACGAAAGCAATGGCAGATGGCCCAAGTCCTTGGGCCCCTGAACCCACATGGGAGACCCAGAAGAAGCCCCTGGCTCCTGGCTTCAGGATGGCCTAGCTCTGGCTGTTGCAGCCATTTAGGGAGTGAACCAGTGGATGGAAGGCCTCTCTGTCTATACCTCTCTATATAACTCTTTCAAATAAATAAAATAAATCTTTAAAAATTAAAAAAAAAAAAGTGTGTGAGGACTGGCATTGTAGCATAGCAAGTAAAGCCATTGCATGCGATGCTGGCATCCCATATGGGCACCAGTTCAATTCCTGGCCGCTCCACTTCTGATCCAGTTCCATGCTAATGGCCTAGAGAAACCAGTGGGAGACAGCCCAAGAGTCTGGGTCCCCACCACCCAAGTGGGAGACCTGGATGAAACTCCTGCTTCAGCCTAGCTCAGCCTTGGCCGCTGCAGCCACTCGGGGAACGAACCAGTGGATGGAAAATCTCACTCTCTTCCTCCATCTCTGACTTTCTAATAAGTAAATTAAAAAATGCAAACCAATATGCTACCTATTTTTAGACACTACAATTATAGGTCATTTATTTTGTTCTGGTCCTTTACCCTAACTAGTACTTTCCACAATTTTGTATTAAAAAATATAAAAACAAACAAGAAAAAGCACAACACTCAGTCACACATCAAATAAGGAGAAAAACTTTGCTATTTTTTTTACCATGCTCAAAAACAGCATCGTTGAAAAAGTAAGGTAGAGATATAGTTTGGTTTTGGAAATCTGTTTTAATAGTGTAAGATTTTATAAAATATTTAAAAGACACAATGTAGAAAATGGACATCAAACACATTAGAGTTATTGCCTTTATGTAGATGGAAGGAAAATTATGGAAAAGGGAATAAATGAATCACTAAATGAAATAGTGAGCTGTTCTAATAAAGTAATAAAATTCAAAGTCTTTGTATCATTAGCAAGTATACCCCAGCCTGGACTGAAGCAAATAAAATTGTAATTTTAAAATGAAAAAAATAAATTAATTAATTAAAAAAAACAAAACCTGTATGTACTAAGTTACTCTAGATGAAGACAGTATTTCTCCATTTGGTCTTTGGGGTCTCAGGACCAAATGGTCACTCAATTTTACTGTGGTCATTGTCCTCATAATAATGGATACAAGTTCACTAGAAAATTGTGTGCTCCAAGCTTCCCTAACCTTCCTGAAAAACTGGTACAAATCTGTCTCTACCAAGTATGCAAACGTTCCTTTAATATCTCATCCCCGACCTTACTCAACCTCTGACCCCTCCCTTTGCTTACAGCAGGGGGCAAGGAGACATTGCCGTGTACCTACCCCTACCTCTGGTGCAGACCGCAGGGCTGCTCACCCTCACAGCGTGCTCACGGGGTCTGCTGCTTTCCCTACCCCATCCTGAACTATACCGCACCCAAGTGTGATGCTAAAAACGCTAACAGTATCCTAAACGCGGCGTTCTAGCCACGACAGCACGCTGAGCCTCAGGAAGGGGCTCCGACCCCCTTTCTCTGCGCCAACACCTATGTTCAAGGGGGGAGGTGAGCAGAGCTGGGAATGGCCTCTCTCGAAGGGAATCCCTGTCTCACTTACCACTTCCCCTGCACAGATATCACCCGAAACTTAAGTGTCTGAGGGGAAAACTAGATGACTCCAACCCTCGGGTCACAACAGCCCGAATTCCCGAGCTCTGCCACCGTCAGTCTCTCTCCCGAAGCCTGGCTGCGGCTACTTCCTCGTCACGTGACGGCCAAAGTTGGTCACGTGGCGTGGCGGCGCCTACCATTCCAGCCTGGGGAGGGGGAGCCAAGACACGAGACTCCTGCTCTTGCAATATTTCCGAGCTACACGGGTCACGAAGGGACTCTGGAAAGGCTACTCAAGTTTCAGAGGCCTCCTTCTCGCGCCGAATTCCCTAGAGGACCCCGAGCGTCCACCGCCTGCCGCCCCCAGGAGGGTGGTTGAGGCCGGAGGCCACGCCCCCTAGGCCGTCCTCTGCCGCGGGAGCCCCGGAGCGCAGCTCGCTGGCCGCCGGCGCATCCAGGGCTTCTTACCGCCCCTCTGTTCGGCTTGCTCCTGGGCGATCTCCCGTTCCCGTCTCCATGGCGTCGCTCCTGTGCTGTGGGCCGAAGCTGGCCGCCTGCGGCATCGTCCTCAGCGCCTGGGGAGTGATCATGTTGGTGAGGGGGCTGCCCAGCGTGAATCGGTGGCGAGCCTGCGGGGCCGAAGGCTAGGCAACTCCGGGCCTGGGCCAGCAGCAGGCAGGATGGCGGGGCTGGTGCGAAACGAGACCGAACTGAGGCTGCAGAAGGGGGAACTGGAGCCTAGCGGGTGGTGGGACTGGAGCCTAGAATGGGAGCTGGGGTTGGGGTCCTGAGAGATGCTTGGGTCGAACGGAGGGTACAGGGCATAAGGGGTGCTCGTTCCCGAAGAGGGTAGCGGGCTCCACCCGCCCCCACTTCCAGAAGAAATGATTTGAAGAAGTGGCGGTCCTCCCTCACGTCTTCCGCCCTGTCCCGTGAGGGTGACGCTTCTGGGGAGGAGGACAATGTGGGTTCCTGGGAAAGCGCTTGTCCCATCACCCGTCTCGGCATCGCCACCGCACGCCCTGTTCCAGGCGGCTGAGTCCGAAGCCGGCAGCAGCCGCCCCTAATCCTGGTTCATTCTGGTCCATCCCAGGCCCAGGTGTTGTGGCAATATTAGAAATAGAAGGGGTTTAGGGGGTAACCAGGAAGTCAGGTGCCTGAGTCCTACAATCTACCCATTCCTTTTTTTTTTTTTTTTTTTTTTTTAAGATAATGCTCGGAATATTTTTCAATGTCCATTCTGCAGTGCTAATCGAGGACGTTCCCTTCACGGAGAAAGACTTTGAGTAAGTAGTCGGGTGGGGAGGTGGGCAGGTGGCTAAAGTCTGACTTAAGGGCGGGATGCTTGGGGGCGCTGGAGGAAGCAGCTGGCCAGCCGTGTAGGGGTCAGGCCTCAGCGGCCATCGTACGCCCAGCTCAGTCCCCCTCTGCAAAGCGGGCACTGTGGCACTCGCCCCGTAGGACTGACAGCGAGGCGCACAGGAACTGCGCCGTTGAGTGTTGGCTGCTATTAACGCTCGCCGTTTCTCTGCCTAATCCGCGCCTCCAGGAACGGCCCCCAGAACATATACAAGCTTTATGAGCAAGTCAGCTACAACTGCTTCATCGCCGCGGGCCTCTACCTCCTCCTGGGAGGCTTCTCTTTCTGCCAAGTCCGGCTCAATAAGCGCAAGGAATACATGGTGCGCTAGAGCAGGGTCCCTGCTGCCCTCGCCAGCCCCGTCCTCTATTTATAAGACTCTCCCCGGCCCAGGTCACTGGCGCGCTCTGCGGGACTGGGTGCCCCCCACCTCGGCCAGTCTTGAACCCCTGTCCGCCGGCCTCTGGCAGCCCCAGCGGAGGGAGCCTGGGTTGGCCGCCCCCTGGCTCCCCAGCCCTCCCAGCCTCGTCCCGTACCACAATAAAGAGAAGCTGCTCTCTTAAAACTTGTGTCTGTGCTTGCGTGAGGGGGCGGGCCGGAGGTCAGACTCAGACCGGGAACCCCGACCCCCGGGCGGAAATGGAATGGGGCTGACCGGAAGTGAGGCGACGCCTTCCACCACTCCTTCCCTCGGCGCGCCCGGGCGGCCCCAGTGACTGCGGTCGGTGAGGCGGGAACGGCAGGGCTTGGGCCAATCAGCGGCGGGGAGGGCGGGACTTCCTGCACGGAGCCCGGAGCGGCGCGGCAGCCAGGCTCCTTCCGTGGTCCCGGCTCGCGTGGCGGCGGCGGCGGCGGCGGCGGCAGCGTCTCCCTGAGGAGGTGCGCGGGGCCATGACGTCAGCGTCCACAAAGGTTCGACCTCCCTCGCGGACAGCGCTCCCTGGCGGCCACGGGAGGGCGGGTCCCCCCGGTTGGGTTCCCGGGTTCTTCCCCCCGGGGCGGGGGCGGGCCGAAACCAAGCCGGGGGGGGGTTTAGGGGTCTCCGGGGGGGCCGGCCCGGGGGATGCCCCCCGCCCCCCCGGAATGTTCCCCCGCCCCCAGGTCGGGGAGATCTTCTCTGCGGCGGGCGCCGCCTTCACGAAGCTCGGGGAGCTGACGATGCAACTGCATCCCGTGGCCGACTCTTCTCCCGCGGGGTACGTGAGCCCGGGCTGGGACGTGGACGCTGAGGGCGGACGCTCGGACTCCACGCGGACGCGGACCCTCTCTAGCGCAGGGACAGCGGTTAGTTTCCCTGTGGCTGGCACAGCCGGAGCAGGTGTTAATAAGTGATCGTCAAGTGAGTGAGTGACAGATGCAGACAGGCCCCGCCCCGCACTACTTCCCCGTCGTACCCCCGCCACGACCACCCACTCCCGTTCCTCGGGCTGCTGCAGACTGCTAGGGTGCAGGTCGCGAGGCTTTCACGTTGATGGGAGAGAGAGGTGGTCCGAGGTGTCCCGATTTCCCGCAGCCGGGGGGTCCTCCAAGCTTTTCTTCTCCTTACAGAGGGCCTCTCTATGGATCCGTGACCGGGGCCCCAGAGACCGGGAGGCGGCGACTGGCCGGCTGTGGCCCCGCCAGCCGGCTCGCTCCACGCCTCTCCCCATTCTGCTGACCCCTCTCCCCTCCCGACAGAGCCAAGTGGACGGACACCGAGATAGAGATGCTGAGGGCTGCTGTGAAACGATTTGGGGACGATCTTAATCACATCAGCTGTGTCATCAAGGAACGGACCGTGTGAGGGAGGGAGGCGGGCAGAGAACGGGGGGCGGGCCCTTTTCCTCCCCTCACCCTTCCTTCCACCCTCATCACAAGTCCCTTGCAGCTCCGTGTCCTCCCTTGAGGACTGCAAACACACAAGGATGGTCACGTTGGTCAGACATCCCAAAAATGCCCTGGCAATGAGGGCCTTCCAAGAATCTGATTTCAGGTTGTCTGAGAGACACGATCACTGCATTTGACCCACAAGGTTCCCTGGGTAATCCGACAGATCTCTTGAGATTCTCCCACAGTGTTTCCAGGAATATTGCGGTTCTGAATATTGCTTGGGATCTATGAATAAGTCTCCATCTTACCTGGTGGCCCTCTGCAGCCACACCTCTCTCCCAGGAGAGACTCAGGAGGGGTGGGCCTTTCCCCGTACTCAATTCAGGGAGCCCACTCCTCACATCCATCCGCCCGGTGTGAGGGCAAAGCTGCAGGAAAAAGAACCCCACCAAAAATTCTTGCGAAGAGGCTCCCTCCTCCCCCACCCTCCCCACTTGGTGATCACTCCTTCCCTAACCGGCTGTCTTCTCTTCAGGGCTCAGATAAAGGCCACTGTGAAACGCAAGGTGTATGAAGACTCTGGCGTTGCGCTTCCAGCTGAGTCACCCAAGAAAGGGCCCAAGAAGGTGGCCTCTGGGGTCCTGTCGCCTCCCCCGGCTGCCCCCCCGCCCAGCAGCTGCAGCGTCCCTGACGCCGGGGCCCCCCCTGTAAAGAAACAGAAGTCCGGTGAGGGCGGTGGAGTCGCTGCCTCGGCGCGAGAGGTCCCATCTGAGGCTCAGTGAGAGAACTGGGCCTTGGGCGAAGCAAGACAGCTCTTCCGCTCCCTCTGGCTTCCTCTCCCCTGGGTGGGCAGAGGGGGAGGGGGTGGGGCGGATGGGGTGAGCACAGAACTCGGGGTGGTCGGGAACCTAGAGCCTAGCTTGTGCCCCCCTCGCAGACGTGACGCTCAGTGCTCTGAACGACTCGGACGCCAATAGCGACCTGGTGGATATTGAAGGGCTGGGAGAAACTCCTCCGGCCAAGAAACTCAACTTCCACCAGGGTAGGAGTCCCCCTCCTCCCACACCAGCTGGGGGCGGGGTAGGATCTCAGCAGGAGCCCTTCCCTGTGCACTCTGCCGGCCGGGCCGGGACACTGTCTCAGAGGCCTACTTGGGGCCCGCTCCATCTCGGTCTGTTCTCCTTCCTGTTCCAGACAGCCTGACCCTGGGTTCTGGCCGCCTAAAGACCTGCGCTGAAGCTCCTTTGCTCTCCTGCTGACCTCCCACCTCCGAGCCCTCTCACCGTTCGCCTGGACCTGTGGATCGCCTGGGACTCTGAGCGAGGCCTGCCCGAGAGAGGCGCAGAGGCTGCTGGGGCTGGCCGCCTGGCTGGTCCTGGACGAGCATCCGCCCCAAGCCCTTTGACCTCTGTCTGATGGACATTTTTATACAGAAAACAATAAAGATTTGTCTCTCAGCTTGGTGCTGTCGGGCTCACGTTATTAACAGGAGAGGGCCATTCCCTCTCCTGGCCTCGGCCCTCAGGGGCCCAGCCCCTCCCAGTAGCTCTCGCCACCCCGCCTGGAGCAGCACAGCCAATATTGGCAGACTCGCCTCCCGGTGCCAATATTTCTGTGCTGCTAGAGCCAGGGGAGCTGGGTGTAGGCAACAAAGACTCCACTTTGCTCTCTGGAGCCAGGACGTAGTCCCAGGGCCTCTGGCAGGCAGAAGTCCTGAAACTTCCCTGGGGATTTTAAAGGGCCTGTTTGCAGCGCATTCATCACTGCCCCCCCACACACACACACACCCCACCACCACCACCACGTCATGAGAAGTTTATCACAAGGCCCCAGATGTTTTTTGAGTCACTTCTCCAGGGTGGCCTCCCAGGGCCAAGCCTCGGCGGTGCCTCCCCCACCCTCGCTCTAACACCACAGTGTGGTTTGGACGTGGCCACAGTGCCGTACAAACCACAGTGTGCTGCTGGGGCGGGAGCAGGATTCGGGTGGGTTGAGAGGAAGAAGACACAAGGCAGCGCTGTGAAGACCCCCATACCACCAACCTCCAAGAGCAGCGAGAGAAGTTTACAAGGCAAACATGGCCCCCAGAGATGATGGGGGCAAACCAGGCACAGGAGTTGGGACGGCAAATGGAAAGAGGGACACTCGTAGGATTGGAGCCATCTTCCCATTGTGGGAGCTCTGCTCAGGGGATCCCCAGGGTTGGGGCGGAGGCAACAGGGAATGACCAGGGACACCAACAGTCTGCCTCCGACTCAGCCAGGCCAGGGACCCGAGGCTTCCTGTGTCCATCCCTCCCTCCCCGGGTCAGAACCCAGGAGGAAACTAGAAGAGACTCGGGGCCAAGGACAGCAGGGTTGGGAGCTGGCAGTCCAGAGGTGGTGGGGCCGGAACACGGTTGGGAGAGGGGGGCCGGAAGTTGCCCTGGGCCCTGGGCCTGCCACAAGATGGAGGCCAAAGGCAGGAAATGGAGGCCAGGGGGAAAGGGGAGCAGCAGGGCCCAGGAAGAGGGCCATCTGGACCTGGGGGGCCAGCAACTCAGCCCCCAGTGCTGTTGCCAGTCCCCGGGGCCCCCCCGGGGCCCGAGCCCCAGCCCCACAACGCCACCCATCAGCCATCCACCAGGCCCAGGCAGGCGGGCCCACCCCAGAGAGCCACGTTTAAGCTGAGACAAACATGCCTCTCCCCACCCCCCACCCTAGGCCTTCCCTCAGCCTTTTTCTCCTGTCCAGGACTCGATTTTTAAAAAGCAACCCCCATCAAAGGATCAAAATCCCTTCTGCAAGTCAGAATCATCCCCTGTGGAACCCAAAAGTGATCAGCCCATATCCCATGCCACCCTTTACTGCCCCCCCGGCCGACACACCCCCCAAAACTCTTAGCAATCTAAAAGATCTAAGATGGTGTATGTAAGATATCTTTTTAGGCACCCGAAGATGCCGGACCACTCCCCAAAGACCCCTGCCTTCGCCACATCAAGCCCTGCCAAGGTCTTCTGCACCTCACCCCACCCTCCAGAGCCCCCAACTCACACAGCTGCCCCCGGCTCCCACCCTCGGCAGAGCCTTTGTGGGGGTGAGAGAGAAAGCAAACACTATCCTAACAGCTAGGATGTTGGGGGGCCCTACGGTCTCCGCCTTTGGTTTCCATCTTGGGGGCTGCAGCTTAGGGGTACAAGAGAAAGCCTCTCCGATCGTCCCCCCAATTCCCAAACTGACAAAGCCAACCCCACCCCAGCACGCACCTCCAAACCTCCCCCCAACCGCCACGTCTCTCCTGAAAACAGGGGACACTTTTTCCTCCCCACTTACCTCAGCTACTCTCCCCTGAGATCCTGGTCCCCTATTTTGAAAGGAGCAAAATTTGGGGTGCATCCCTCACATTTGGGGTGCAGGAGAAAGGAGCCGCCCCAGTCGCATCGCTGGCCTCCTTCCTCTCGGCTGGCTCAGGGACTGGGGAGTGCCCTGGGGAGGGGGGACCCCCACAAGACAGCTCTGGGGGGGTTCCTCCACTCCCAGTCAGAATTGGGGACACCCCCCCAAAACCCGTCCCAGCCCATCCGTCTCCAACTCGGCGGGAGAGGCAGCTGCAATGCCCCAGTCAGATTCCCCCAACACTACATTCCTCACCCCATCTAGAGGGGTCCCGGGGCCCCCAAAAAATCCCCAAAAAATCTAGGATGTTGGGAGGACGGTCCTGGACTAGCTCCCCAAATTTGGGGTCCTCAGATACCCCCGTTTTTTCAGGAAAATTCCGTCTTTCGCCTGTCTCCCGCCAGCCCTGCTCTGTCCCGATGCCAATTTTGGAAGTCACTCCCTCCCTCCTCCTCCCCGTCTCTCCAGGCCCCCCCGCCCGGGGGCTAGGGTCCAGGACACCTGGCTTCCAGACCGGGGGGCACTCCTCAGAGGGCTAGGGGCCAGGAGGTCAAGCTATTTGCCCCAGTCTCGAGGAAGCAGGAAAGTCCGATCCTCCCTCCCCTCCCCCCGGCTGGTCTCGGTGGTGGTTTAGGAAAGCCTGGAGGATTGGAATCTGCCATTGCTGTTGCACAGGCAGTTTTTTTTCCTTGGGTTGGGGGGGTGGGCGGTGGGAGGGAGAGAGGGGAGGAGAGCCGAGGAGAGCGGGACCCAGGCGGGAAGAGCTGGCCTGGCTCACCCTCTAGCCCCTGCCGCCGTGGGGAGCCCCTCCCCCCTCATCTCGCCACACTCTGCTTTCTGTTTGGGGCTGTTATCCTGGAACATCAGGGCACGAGATTCACCTCCTGAACCCCACCACCGCCCCTCCTTGCCACAGTTCCAACAGCATTGCCCTGGCCAGGGGTGTCCACTTGACCAAGAGACACCCCATTTTCTTCCACCTTCCCTCCAACCGAAGTGGGTGCCTGTAATAAATCGGGGTTCGGAGCCTGATACCACTTTTTATGCTCAGATCAATCGAGGCCATGTAGCGATTAAGAAGAGACACTGCACCCTTCTCAAATCTCGCCCTTCAAGTCCTAGGCTTATTTGGGGGTTCACTAATGAAAGAAAGTTCTAGAAGCTGGAGTGAGCAAGCTATAAGCAAAAGACCTCCCAAACCAGAATCGCGCTCCAAATTAAGTGAATCTCCAAATTGGTCTCCCCTTATCCATCCATTACCTTCACCAGATGCACCCAAAGAGGGGCAAAGCATCCCCAACTAAGGACACCCCAAAACTCTGGTCCCCCACCCTGGGGGCCCTCACCTTGTTTCCGCTCTGGGGATACATCGTGGCTGTCCACGCATACAAGGAGAGCCTCCCCTGAGAGTGTTTCCAGGACATTCTGGAACTTTGCTCCCCACTTCCCACACCCCCATCCTAGAAAGCCTTCAAACGTGCTCTTAGCATCCTACTGTGTTCCATTTCAGACTAAAATCCTGCAGATGGAAATCATGTTCCTGACAACCTTGAACCTGAGCCTTGACATTTATGTGACACCCCAAAACACATGGCACCCCAAAACCCCAGCAGTACTCTGGCTCTCCAGAGATGGGGAGATAACAGACAGAGGTACAGTCTCCCTGTTGTGGGGGTCAGAGCCCCCAGAACTAATGTAGCATCCAAATCAGCCCCATGCCTCGCTCCAACTTGCCACAAACTCTCCAGGTGGATATAGGCCCCAACTTGACACCCCATAATAAGCAGGCACCCCACAACTGATCAGATAACAGTGCACGCTGACACTGAAGGGAGCCCCTAGTGCAATTCCCTCCTTCGAACTTTGCGGAGAGCAGAGTCACCAAAGCCATCTCCCTTCCTCGCCCCCAGTGCCCAGGTCCCCACTGTTCTTTCCCGCACCGGGAGCAGAAGGGGAGCGCCCCACGCCGGGCCGTGCAGCTCCGGGCGCGGCGGTGAGTGTTCCCCAGTCCGCCATCTACCTCCTGAGCCCAAGTCCGAGGACCCAGCTGTGCCCCCACCCCTTGGCCAGATGAACCTTGCCGCCCTCGGAGGGCTTCCCCAGCGCCCGTCTCCCGGGCCAGGGACTTGAATTTAGGGCTGTCAGGCCACTCCTGCCCTCTCCCCGTCTTCCGTTTCCCATTTCTCTCCATTTACCCCGCCCAACTTTTGTACTGATGCAGGCTAGAATTCCGCCCCCAAAGACGGCGGGACAACCTTGTGCTCCCATCCCCTCCTCACCCACTCCCCTCGTCCCGAAGCCCACGATGCCTCACCTCAGGTAGGAACCCCAGCCTGAGGGAGAGTCCTCCCGCCCCGGGAACCCTAACTCTAGCCCTCCGCCGCACCCCAGGGCCCTGGCACCCAGGAGACAGAGGCGCCAAAATAACCCACGGCGCACGGGGCAGGAAGCCGGAGGTCTCAGTCGCCCAGGCCGACGCGCTACAGCGCGCGGGTCTGAGCTCGGCCCCAGCCGGGTGGGGACTACGGGGCGAAGCGAGTCTGGTGCTCGTCCGCCCCCTCGTGGAAGGAGCAGGACACTGCCGAGCTTCGCCGGCTTGCCGCGCTGGACCCCGGCGTCCGGCCAGCCTCCGGCCGCAGCCGACGGGCCGGTGCCCGCGGCCCCGGGGAGAGCGAGCGGCCTTTGGGCGGGAGTCCGTCCCTCTGGGTCCCCAAAAGGATCCAGAAGCGAGTCGGCAGTGAGAGGCCGGACGCCTAGGCCCCCCGAGCGTCTCTCGGTCCCCACCCGGGGCTTTCCCCACCTCCTCGAGGGGAAGCAGCTGGCGGAGCCGTCCGGTCGCAGGACAATGGAAGGAAACGAACTAGAAATCATATCCGCCCTCTTCCCACCCCGCCCGGCCACAGCCCCCCTCTCTGTCGGCCGCGCTGGAGGGGCCTGTCGCTCACACCACACCCTGTGGCTGTCAAAGACCCCAGGGCAGCCCCCGCCCCAAACCCGCTGCCTCCTGGGGCTCCCCCTTTTCTCCCGTAACGCGGTACCTCGGAAGGGGGGCAGCATGGCTGTCTTCGCTCCACCCTGCCACAGGCTCCTGGCGCCCCCTCGCCAGAGCCCCACCCCCCAACTCTCTGCTATCTGCGGCCCTCCGACGACCTAGATCCTGTCTGTCGCCTCGACATCCCTAGCCCCCTCCCCAATTCTAGTGTCCCCACCCTCGACCCCACTTTCGATGACCCCAGACCCACTAGTTCC